ACAATAATAATACTTGCAATAAAAGGCAATATTCTTTAATTATGAACACATAAATAATTAGTTATAAACAATATTTACAACTAAAAAGAATTTTCAAAAATCCTAACATTACCTCTGTCGTTGGCTAATTACCGTTGCCACGGCTATCTTTGTTCTTTGTTTATTTGTCCCTTTCACGCATGAAGGTTTATAATATAACTAGCTGTTCCCGAGCGGCTTCATCCGCGTGAAATTGTGAAAATTTTATTTTATTTTTTACATTTGTCAAATTATCAATAGCAAATGTCAAAATGACATTACATGACAAACCTTGACAGTCTTGCTTTCTTGATGTAGGCAGCAACTTATAGTCTCTTTCCCACATTAAGGCTTTTATCCAAAATATTTACCACCTAAGTTTATTGGTGTGAAAATATATAGCCTATAGCTAGACAAGTGTCGGTATTTTATTAAAAATAGCTGTGATTGCTGACATGTGACACAAAGCAGTGTTTTACTTTTTATTATGTTTTTTTTTTTCATCATCAACTTGCCCTTATACATAACGGAGGGTCGGCACAGTATGCGCTGCTCCATACATCTCTATCAGCCGTCATATCTGAATCCACTCCTTTCTTAAGCATGTCCTCTTTCACACAATCCATCCATACTTTCTTCGGTCTTCCTTTACCTTTGTAGCCATACACATTCATTAACACTTTCTGGTTTATGTCCCCATCGTCGCGTCGCATAACATGCCCATACCACGCTAACCTTTTGCTTCTCAAATATGATTTTTTTATTCGCGTTGTAACGCGACTCCATAGTTTATCTTGTTCCGAATATTATTCAGTACGTATGGTAGATAATGAGATAGTCCGCGCTGCGCACTGAGTTATATTGCTCAGGTCGTCAATGGTTATTACAGGTTTGTTCTCGCAAACAGGTGAACTGGTGACGTCATCGATTAATTACAATGGAATTTACAGCATAATTGAATAGAATGTAACTACTCATTAAATACTAGCTGTTGCCCACGACTTCGTCCGCGTGGTATTAGAAAACAGACGAACTATGTAATTAACGTGTCCCTCGGGAACCGGGCATTTTTCGGGGATGAAGCTTATCCCATGTGTACTCCAGACTTTGTTTTATATCTGTACCAAATTTCATCAAAATCTGTTCAGCCGTTTAGGCTACAAACTTTAACAAACATCCATCCATCCATCTGAACTTTCGCATTTATAATATTAGTATGATTAGTATGATTGATTTACTAGTTGATGTCCACGATTCCGTCTGCGAAGATCTATACTTCTATACTATTATAATAAAGCATAAACACACTTCTTTGTTGTCTAAGATGTCAGCAATAACAGCATATTTTTAAATAATTCTTTTTTTAATAAAAAGCCCTACACTTATGTCACGCTTTAGGATATATATTTTCACGCCATTAAATTTAGGTGGTAAATTTTTTGGATAAAACCCCTAATGTGGGAAAGAGATAATAGGTTTTTGCCAACATCAAGGAAGCAAGACTGTCAAGGTTTGTCATGTCATGTCTTTTGTATGTATTGAAATAACTCAAAAACTACTGGGCCGATTTAAAAAATTCTTTCACCGGTAAAAAGCTTCATTATTACAGTTAGTAACATGGGCTATATATTTTTTTAATTACACGCAAAAGTCGCGAGCATCGTAAGATAATGAAGTAGAAGATTCTTTTATTAACAATGCACCTGTGAGGGAAACAATAAAAGCACAAGCGATGGAAGTTGTCGCGGGATGTCAGTTCCGTCGATTGGGGCACTTAATATATGACCAGCGATATTACAGTCAGGAATTTTAATCACCAGAGGGACTCTAGTAAGAAATGCGCAGGGCTGCCACAAGTTGAAAAAAAAAACATTTAGTTAAATTAAGATTTGGCTTAGATATAGTTCAAAATGAAAGAATAAAAATAATTTTTGGAGCTATGATTACGTGATCAGATGTCAGCCATCTTCTACTAATATTATAAAGAGAAAAGATTTGTATTTTCGTATTTTTGTATGAAATAACTCATAAATTACTGTACCTATTTCAAAAAAATACTTCACCGATAGAAAGGTAATTTATCTGTGAGTAACATAGGCTATATCTTTTTTATTAATTTTTATTACACGCGGGAGAAGTCGCGAGCAAAAGCTATGATTTAATAAATTCGATTCTAGAGATTTCTAGAAACCTGTCGGTTAAGTAAGGAAGCAGATTTCTGATCACGTGTTCGAAGGTTGGAATTCCACGATTCGACTATTGTAAACCATATAAACAAGCCAATACTAATTAACAAGCTTTCGCCCGCAACTCCGTCCGCGTGGGAAAGACAAAAGTAAGTAGCTTATGTGGTCCAGACTATCTTCTACATCTATGACAGACATCGAGATCCGTTCAGCAGTTTAGACTACAAAATCTAACAAACATCCATCTAAAACATATTTTAATATTAGTAAGATTAACAATAATTTAAAAAAAAACATCGCCGACAAGCAATAATCACTTCGAACTGAAATTAATTTCAACCATTAGTTACTATTACAATAAAAAAAAATTATATTTGCGACAGCCCTACGTCACAAGTGAAGCGTGTTTAAAGCATCAAAAAGCGCATCATCCGATTGCGGCCCTGTGCTTCAATTTTATACACTTTTTGCCCTCCTCCCTGCCCTCACAACCCTCAGTGATATTGCCCGGGAGGGTGGAGGGAATGTTTAATATTGCTGTCCTCTTTAAATGTCATCTGGAGTACTTCAGCCGTGTTTTGTTTGAGTTCGAAAATTGTTTTAAAACAAGCTAACGAGGCTTCTGACAATTATGTTGTTTTAATTTGAAATTATAAACGTTGATAGACGTTAAATTAATATTTAATTATATTACAGTTAAGTTTTAGATAATCTATAAAAGAATTATATTACACTTCAATAGTACTGAATGATGGAGACTCGAACAGCTTTTTAAATTTTCAACAACAATTTTATTTTATCCGTCGGCGGAGCATGGAATATGATCTAGTTTAGACGATTGTCACTAGTTAATGCTATTATTGACAAAATTATGTTTTCAGATAACATTTATCGATAAAATACCGTTTAATTAAACATTTGTTTCATATTATTATTGCACGGATTGTAATTACATTTGCGCCTTTAAGAATTAAATAGCAAATTTGTAATAAATATTTAGTTGCTATTAAACTAATTATCTTCATACATTTTATTGGATTTATTTTAGTTTCAATAGTAATAGCTTTTAAGTCCGTCGGCGTTTTTGCGCCCGCTTTTTTATTTACAATGCAAATTTTAAATTAAAACATCATTTTGCCATTGAAAAACGGATTAATTCTGCCATTGCCGAAATAATTCAAGTTGAATAGCACAAGAAGATTAATTAATTAGAATTTTTCACACGTTTTATAAACCGATTGGATATGTAAAAAATACGTTTGGAAAAATACCTTAATAAAGTAACAACATAAGTTGTAAAACATAAACTAAAACTTAAATTTGAAAAATAAATAACTTGCATAATCGTCGAATAATAATTCAATATTAGAAAGTCCGAATTTAATTTGAAAAACATTAAATTCCACATTCGAAATTCGAATTTGTTTTGTATAACATTATATTCGAAATTCAAATTTGATGTTGAATTTGACATTCGAAATTCGAATTTCATTTGTATAATGAATTCAATATTTAAAATCATATTTTTTTTTATAATATAAGGTGGCGAACGACCAAGCTGCCACCTGAATCCACCGAAATGGAAAGCGATCGCTGCACATATACATCCGCAATTGCAGATGCGTTGCCTACCCTTCAATGACGGAGGAGACTCACATAAAGAGGACATTTTCCCTTCCTATTCGTCTCCTCCACCGTCAAATCCACTTTTCCTTCACATCCTTTCCTCGTAAGAAATATTTGCCTACATAATTTATATTAAAAACAAAATACATTTGTGAGACAAGTCTTATCCAATATCTCGATTGTAGCTCGCGGAGAATGGGGGTGAGGGGGGAGGGTAGATTATGATATTAAAGCGTTTGATACACCCGCGGGGGCGGGGGAGGGGCGCGCAGGGGCGGATTGTCTGCTAATTGAATTATGTCGGAATCTATAGCGGTTAATTTATATTAGAATGCACAGGGATGGATTGGATATAATTTGGAGGTTATAGATTTTTAATTAAGGTAACTATTATGATGTAATTGTTACTTAAACTTTTGTATGTTTTGAATTTAGCATTTCTTTAAATATATTACTTGAATATCAATTTTTTAAACTTAATTATGCTATTACTACTAAATAATTACTGGGAAGGGAATCTAAGATATTTATGTAGTCAAGTAAACCCTCACTAGGCTAGTATGGTTGACTAAGACCTAGTCAACTAAGGGTAGGGTTTCTATTCTGGAAAAAATAATCAAAACCAAAGAAAAACAAAGGATAGAAATATTTGTTGATTATTAATGATTTAATTTGGTTTAAACTTAATATACTTTTCATCTGTACAAATAATATAAAGATAATTTTTTTTTCGTATGTATTGAAATAACTCAAACCCTTCACTGATTTCAAAACTTTTTTTAACTTGTTTATATTTAAAAACATGAATTTCAATTGTTCTAAATCCGAGCCTGTCTCAATCAAAGGCTTTCTACCGACCGCAAATCACTGCGGGGACCACACCTACTAAATCTGGCCACGCCTACAACGCGCCTGCGCACTAACACGCCAATCGCATCCCAACCCCCAACCCCTAGGGATGAAGCACATTGAGCAATTGACCACCGCTTGATGTCATTTTTTACCCCACGAACCGATCACTAACGCCCCGCCCTAACAATTTTCAACCATAAACCACAAACCGATCTTAGCGTGCGCCCGCGTGATTCACTCCAAAATTAACCTAAAAATAAATTAACTATTGAATAAAATTATGTTCAGTGTCAGTGAAAGTGTTAAGTGATGTAAAGAATGGATCAACGACAAATATACCCGAATATAACAGATTTGTTATACCAACAGAATATAACACGTTTGTCGTCATTAAGTGACGGCGATGTTAAATATAACACCGCTTATGCCGACAATGATAATGCCGACAGATCTTCGTCACCTTCGATCGAAGATGCCGACAGCGAGTCCGCGTTCGGTGTCGATTTGTCAGGAAAAGGTACCAATTTGGCGGGTAAATCGTTCACTATTGCCGCCATTTTGGGCTTGAGTAATGCGGAAGAGGATGCGATGAATCTCAGCGTTCAAGAACGTATACACCAGAATCAAAGGCAATTGCAGAATTATTTATATTCTGATGACATGCACAGGTTGAATGACGGATTCTGTAGAAGTATTGGAGTCCCGCATGGGTTGCCACAAGGTAAGTTTATAAAAACTTCGACATTATATCTTACTAATGTTATAAATGCGAAAGTTTAGATGGATGTTTGTTAGAGTTTGTAGTCTAAACCTATGAATGGATCTCGATGAAATTTGGCACAGATGTTGAACATAGACTGGAAGAACACATAGGCTATTTTCTAAGATTTTAATTCCGCGCGGACGGAATCGCTGGCGAAAACTGGTGGTAAAGATGAGACAGTAAACCATTTTTTTTTACCGGTACTTTCTCTTAAAGATACTAGTTTTACTGAAAGTGTCAAGTTTAGTGCCACCTCGTGACATGTAATAAAAAAATTATAAGATCTATCATATTAATATTATAAATGCGAAAGTTTAGATGGATATTTCAAATCATAGATTCAAAAATCATAAAAAAAAAACAAATTAACACTAACATATCTTTTGCAAAAAATATCGCATATTAATAAACGTAGTAACCGGAGAGCAAGTTTACTTGTTCTGCCCAAAGTACGAACCAACTATGGCGTAAAAAATATCAATTTCGAAGGAGCACAACTTTATAACAGATTACCATCCTCCATTAAAAATGCGGATTCACTTAATATGTTTAAATTAATGTTAACAAAACATATATTAGAAAATTGTACAAAATTTATATACTAAGAACATAGGCGACAATCAACATATTGTAAATTTAAATTCTCATGTAAGTGACTGTACATGTCTTTTTGACCGACTTCCCAAAAGAAGGAGGTATTCAATTCGTCGATATATTTTTTTTTATTTTTTTTATGTGTGTTACGGCATAACTCTGCCGCTAGTGGACCGATTTGGATAATTCTTTTTTTATCCGAAAGGTAATGCTTGCAGGTGGGTCCCATTTTTTTTGTTTATTGGGAATAAAAGTCTTTGAACATTAAACATATTTGTTACGAGTTTGTAGCGTAAACGGCTTAACGAATTTCGATGAAATTTGGTATAGATGTAGATGATAGTCTAGATGAACACACAGGCTACTCACTATTTCTTTTTTTTATTAAATTTTACGCGCACGCAATCGCGGGCGAAAGCTAGTAACTAATAATAGTTTACTCTGAACAGATAAATTTTGTCGTGTAAAAAAATAATAGGGGTGTAAACATCGATGTTTCTTCCCTCCCATATCCTCGCAGATTTAATTAAATCTTTTTGTCTTTTTATTGACGTCAGAATGTTAATATTGATATTTGCCCACCCTATGACCGTAACTTTTTTAAAATATTTTAAAAGGTAAATGAGCAAGCGGCTACCTGAATCCGCCAAACTGGTGGAGCGACCGCTGCCTAGACATCCGCAATTGCAGATGCGTTGCCTACCCTTAATCGAGGTAGGAGGAGGCGCACATAAAAAGGATATTTCTCCTTCCTATGCGTCTCCTACACCGTCAAATCCACTTTTCCATGCCATCCTTTGCTCTTAAGAAAAGGGTGGAAAGGAAAAGGAACTAAAATTATGCCTCCGGCACCACACTCATCAGACTGCACGCGGAATCGCTTCCACTTGACGCCTGTTTTCTGTGTGGTTGTGGTATTGCGGGGGCGAGCCGGCCCAGCACTGCGATGATGTTAAAGAGGGCACTACCACTGTTATTTTACATAAGAACGAAAACTATAGTTTTGATCTTCATAAGTTTAATTTAATCACTTTTGAAAATAAGCGACTATAGTGTGTCTAAATAATTTAGATTAGTTTGACAATTCATTTCAAATTTACTAGGGATGGGTTGTGTAATCATGTCATGAATCATGAATCTTATCGATTTTCGATTTTTATTCTTATAGAAGTTGGAATCGATTGATTTATAGTTATGAATTAAAAAATAAAAACACTGTTTTCTCAATAATAATGACCATTACAAATAATGAGAGTAAATAAATGTTTATTACTACTACAGCCGTACGTAATCGAATTGGATTTCGCTATTATTTCTGTCATCGCTAAATTCTCTACACTATAATCAATACTAGAATTGTCCTTTAAATTAGATGATAAGAAAGTAATAATTTTAGTTGAGTTCGATAATTATTTAAACCGAATATCGATAGTTCATAATTGTTTGCTGCGTGTTTGTCACTAAAATACCTGTCTATTAGGTACGGCATTTGCCTTCTTACAAATTGAATTCGATACTTCATATGCGTCATTTATCAAACTAATCTATCTTATTTAGACAAACTATAGATGTATGTTCTTCATTGAAGAATCGGTGAACGTACTTTTGGGTAATATTTTTTTAAACATTTACCTTTATAATTTTTCGACCACTGGCACTACTTTAAAACTTTCTCTAACATACCCATTCTTAACGTTACCCCTTCTTGTCAGGCATATCCATCTTAATATACGCTTACCCACGTGCAATCTTCTTTCTATATTATTTATTGCGAGTTTCGCCCGGGACTCCGTCCGCGTAGAATTAAAAAAAAAAAAACTGAGTAGCCTATGTGTTCTTCCAGACTTTCTTCTACGTCTATGCCAAATTCATCGAGATACGTTAACCCGTTAGGCTACAAACTCTAACAAACATCTAAACTTACGCATTTATAATACAAGTAAGATATATTCTCGCAGACAGTCCGCGTCCTGAGCTGCGGCACCAAGTACCGCAGATGAAGAGCTCCAGACCTCATGCCATCACCTGTTCCACTGGGTAAGTGCTCTCAGCGTTCATAGCTCCCTAGTGAATTTGATTCTAATGGTTAGTTTACACTTAGTCAGAACAGTTGGGTTAGCGGTCAATAAGTAGACTGGTATTCGGCTGTCGTAGTGTAAACACTGATGGTCCCTATAAGTCTATACAATTTATGAATGGCCGTCACAATATCCCACTGAACTGGTGAAGTGTGAACCAAGCATAAGTTAGTGACTACGCAGTCAATCACGGTTTTTTAGTAGATGGTGGCAAACAAGCTCGATCAATGGAATAGCGAATAGATGGTTTGTAATGCCTGGTATACACTTGGCTAGTACAGTTCGACAGTAGCACAGACCACTCGTTAACAGTTGAATGCCAGTCCATTTATCAAGTACTACTGTCGAAGTGTGATGCAAGCATTAGAAGTTACAGTTACGGTTATAAGAATGGATTTATTTTTGTTTATTGGCGTAGATTTCATAGTAATCTTGTTCAGGAACGGTAGAAGTAAGAGGATAAGGACGATCTTCACTCCGGAGCAGCTGGAGAGATTAGAAGCGGAGTTCGAACGGCAGCAGTACATGGTGGGGCCCGAGAGGTTGTACCTCGCGCACGCATTGCAACTCACTGAAGCACAGGTAACTATGCACTGCTTTTTATTACATTTTTAGTACTAGCTGATCCCGTGCGGTTTCATTTTTTTTTATATAACATAAGGTGGCAAACGAGCAAGCGACCACCTGAATCCACCAAAATGGCGAAGCAGCCGCTGCGCATGGACATCAGCGATCGCAGATGCGTTGTCTACCCTTATCCGACGGAGGAGGAGACGCACATAAAGAGGAATTTGCCCCTTCCTATGCATCTCCTCCACCGTCAAATTCACTTCCCCTTCCCATACTCCTCTTATAAGAAAAGGGTGGTAAAGAGAAAGGGACCCAAATTAGGCCTCCGGCACCACACTCATCAGACGAAACACGGAATTGCTTCCATTTGACGCCTGTCTTCTGTGTGGTCGTGGTATTACTGGGGGCGTGCCGGCCCTGCAGTGCTAACATGTTAAAGCGGGCACTACCACTGTTTACATGATATAAACATTTCATTGTTTATATTGCGTAAAACATTAATAAACATCAAAATTCAAATAAATAAAATGACAACGAAGGACTGCTAATAATGATGACAATCTTGCTTCTTTGCTGCTATTGGTTTGTAGTTTCTGACCCTTTTCTCTAATGAGGATTTATCCAATTTATTTACCCCATAAGTTAAAACGCGTGAAATCATACAGCATAAAGTCGGAAATGTAGAACATTTTTAAATTATACCGGAAAAAACTGTCCAACTGTACTGGCCAAATGTGTACCGCGCATTAGTTAGGATTTTATTGTATTTGTCAAAAAAACGAGATAAAGTGTTAACTTTGGTTAGAGATGGGATTTTACCCGGAAAAAACCCTCATGTGGGAAAAAAGCAGGGAAAAACCGGGGAAAATTCCCGAATGGGAAAATATTCGTGTTTTTTTTTTATTTAGCATATAAAACATCTAGGTAATGTGTAGATACAAGTATATACAATAGTACGTACTATTCTTACTAGTTAGACCTAATCTTATTTTGTTTATTTTCATAATTCAATAAATATCTGTCGGTTAACAATTCTCATAACCTGTCTCTTTCTTCCCTTCATAATTTTACTAACCTTCAAATTACTTTCGTAGGTGAAAGTGTGGTTCCAGAACAGACGTATAAAATGGCGGAAGCATCATCTAGAAGTGACGCAGCAGCGGCTGGCGGTGCTGCAGCGACACAGGCCGGATGAACGCGACGACTGAGCCGCGAAAACAAGATGGCCGACGGTGAATATTTAAGTGCAATGAACAATAGTGATTTTTTTATTTATTCATTGATTATTGTTAAGAATTTAAATAATCAAAATAAGGATGACAAATCATTTATTTTAAATAACCTTTTTGTTAACAAGTAGCTGTTTGCTCGTGATTCGTCTCCGTGAAGTTAAAAAAGATATAGCTTATGTTACTCACACTCACAAATAAATTACCTTTCTAGTGGCGAAAGAATTTTTGTAATCGGCCCATTTGTTTTTGAACTATTTCAATACATACAAAAATACAAATCTTTCCTCTTTACAATCATACTTCATACTCATACGAATATTATAAATGCGAAAATTTAGATGGATGGATGTTTGTTAGAGTTTGTAGCCTAAACGGCTGAACGGATTTCGATAAAATTTGGTATGGATGTAGAGGATAGTCTGGAAGAACACATAGGCTACTCACGTTTGTTCTTTTTAATTCCACGCGGACGGAGTCGCGTGCGAAAGCTAGTATTAGAATAAATGGAGGGTTTTTTTTTCGTTAACAGAAATATTTTTATGTGTGTGTTTATTTTAAATTATTATTTTATGTTATGTTATAGGTAAATTTGGACATTGTTAATAGGTTTCATAATTACTTCACGTATTCGTTTACTGCTATGAAAAAAAAAAATTAAAAAAAAACAATGTCTATGTATGTCATTTGTCATCCTTATAAATGTCACATCTAATTTTTATAAAGTTTATTTAATTTTGAAACATAATAATCCTTGCGCTCTTTGGAGTCTTTGTATTTTTAGTTATAGGTGTATATAAAAATTATATTTTACATTTTTCCCGCGCTGTTTTGACAATGCTGCGTCGGTCTAGTCGTTTTTCCACGTATAACATGTCTATTTATTTAATTATTTCTAGAATAATATAGGATTTAGATAAGAATACATTAATAAAGTAATTATTAATAACTAATTGGTTTTATTTTCACTTTATTCCAAGATTTTTTGGAAAGAACTGAATAAACCGCGTATGGATTTTTATCTGTGTGTTACATTGTTATTTTTAATCTGCCGAATCTTTCTTACTATCCTTTTTTTACTTTAGTTTTGTTTTTAAATAAGCGTATTTCACATAACTCATAACGTCGTAAAGTAATAAAAAACATTTAAATTATTGTTAATTATTACTGGTCGATGAGTCGTTTTTTGACCGACTTCCCAAAATAAGGAGGTACTCAATTCGTCTGTATGTTTTTTTATGTGTTACGGCATAACTCCGCCGCTAGTGGACCGATTTTGATAATTCCTTTTTTATCCGAAAGGTAATGCTTGCAGATGTTTCCCATTTTTTTGTTTGATTTTTGGATTCAAAGACTACGACGTAGTTAAATAGTTTAGCTCAAAATCGCGCGACGAAATTTAGGGTCATTTTTGCTTTCTTTGTTTCGACATGAATATATCCTTCAAACAAATTGAATTTTCAAAACATAATTTATCATAATATTTATCGCTAGTAGGTCAATGACTGCGTTTGCTGACGTTATTTTGAAGGAGGATCAACATTAGTGATGTACCGATATCGATACAGTTTATCGATCTTTCAAAAATAAAATTATTTAAAGCTATTAACTTTTGTACTATTTGTACTTATGCCTTATGAATTAAATTGTGTGTCTGAATTCGTCGATCCGGAATAGCTAAACGGAACTTAGGTAGATCTAGTTTAATAATCAGTTTATCGATTCAATGCAGACAATTCAAACCTTTTGCGTACATTGTTTCTCGTCAAAGACTACGTGTCTATCGTAGCTATTTATGTAAATGTGTTAACTAATCCATTACTAAACATACAAACCTACATGTGTTGCATAAATAGAAGTAATTATTACCTAACTGTCCCGATTACTGAGATAGGTAAAAGTGAAATGAACGAAACCGGTTATAGTAAACGCGGTAGTGTACTAATCTAGTGATGGGCGTTTCAGACATCGATAATCTAACTTCTATTCTAAATCAAAAAATTAACAAATTTATTTGGCCTACAAACCGTTAAATACTAAAGTCTAGTGTAAATTACATAATAATTATAGCATTTTTAGCTGCATGTAAACGTGTAAAAACAATCTTTTTTTTACATTATAATGAGTTCTTTTTATAATCCTCAATGTTATTTTAACATTATTGTGCGAAAGTGATCGTGTGCTCCGTTTGTACTTTAACTTAGTTCACCTTATGATTTATCGACCTATAGTCCAATTTTTCTACGGCCGCGGCCGTACGGTACGACACGGCCGGCCATGACGTATTGATAGAAATAATTGAAAAAATATCGATAACTTTATCGATGTATTATCACATCACTAGTAATCAGTAGTCGGCGCCACGCTATCGCCGCAGCGCAGTGTTTGTACACAAATCAACACAACAACATCGTAATGATATCTTGTTTTTATAAATAAATAACATAGTAGTTGTATAAAGTGCGCGTTGTGTTTGATACGAAGGATGGATTATATGAAAGGTAATTTTTCACATTAGTGTTATTTTTCGATTTGATTAAATTTTTACTATTACGTGTGAGATTTTCCTGTTTAAAAAAAACGATTATGGTAAATACTTATTCCGTGTTTAATAAAATTCGAAAGAAATTTTCTTTTTCGAATTCGAATATTTTCAAATTTCTACCATGTTTTTACTTTAAGAACGTCGGTTTTTTTTCAAATCAATTTTTAAATAAAGTCAACATAAGGTCATCTTAATCGTAGGTGCGTAAATTAATCTGACATATCTAAATGTAAATTCCGTCTTCTAGGGCCTATGCTCGGTAGTTTTGCATGCAAAGCTTTATATGCCCTTGAATTAATTTCATAATTTGTAGTAAAATAAATGAATGATCGGACTTAAAAGAATTTTAATTTTATCTGTGTCCAATTTATTTCACATAAATAATTGTAGTTTTAGTAGAGTTTCGGTAATAGCGTTAGAGTACGGGAACGTAGGGCAACCGCCCAGGTCGCCACAGGTGACAAAAAGGAGCGCAGTAGAAATCTCTTCCAGGGCGCCGATAATGTAGAACTTTTATTACGTTAGTTTTTACAAATTCGTCGTTTAGTTTGTGAGATTATGTACAAACCTTTGTCTTTTTTATGTGATATCAGTTAAGGATAATTTTTTAAAAACGTAGTTTCAACGTTCAAACAAGCTATAATAACGTAAACAAGCCTTAGTTCATCATCATCATCCTTGTACTACTCCCGTAGGGTCGGCGCAACAGGTTTTTGTCCTCCAAATAACTCTATCATACGTCATCTCAGTCATCACTCCCTTTTTGATCATGTCACCTTTCACGCAATACATCCATGTCTAGGTCTACCTCTACCGATGTAGCCTACCACACTCATAACTAACGTTCTCCTTGTTACATGCGATTCATCCCTGCTCATAACATGCCCCCATGCTAACCTTTTACTCCTTACCTTCTCTACCACTAGGGTTACTCTCAAAGAGTAAACAAGTCTTACTTGCATGACTATTTGGCAGATACCAGTTAGTGCACAAAGTTCATTTTATCGTAGTAGTTTCCGTTCCTTTGTATTTTATTATGCAATTTTGACAGATAACGAGAATAAAAACCTGCCATATCGAACGTATAAATCTAATCAGTTTTATTTTTTTGTAATACGCAAGCAAAAAGGTCTCTCATTGTATTAGAATAATAAATTCTGAGCGTATTTAACCATATTATTTTACAAAATAATATTTAAAGTTAACTATATTTTTTCTTGACATAAATTATAATAGCCTTGCATTTAAATTTACTTTTGTAATAATCGTGTAGCTGAAATATAAATTGCATTGTTTCTGGCTGTATTCTTGATTTATGTTTGTTTTTAATTTTAAATTCAAATACGATGCTCCTTATTTGAATTCGCTCATTCGTTCATGGGTCAGAAATGAATGGAATTATGGGCATCATTCCAAGATAATTAGTGTAACGAATAGTTGCATTTTAAAGGTTATAATTAGAAAAATTATATACTAAGTAGTTCAATGGTCACATAAAGAGATCTTAAGTGAAGATTACTCGACTTTGCGTGCGGTAGGACTATCTACAAATGTGTAATATTACAAATTCAATCTCTTTGAATAATCACCGCAAAAAAATTATAACTTTAGTCTGTACAGTTTCTTTGCAAATATACTTTTAATTAACATAAATTATTAAACAGGTAAAATCTTACACGTGAGGGTTTTATATTAATAATAATTACGAAAAACCTTTGCTATATCTTTTCATTATGGTTTTGTTAATTGTATTTTTTCACAGAACAGGACTGGCATGACGCAAATCTTGGCAGCCTCCAACTGATGATCACAGATTTCGATCTTTGGATATGTAGATTAAAAAAATACATTGAAAAAAGGTATTAAAATAAGACGAACAATTTTGTTAAATATTAAACTGTTTTGCTTTTTTTTTAATAAAAGGGGGCAAACGAGCGAAGAGAACACCGAGGAGGTCAACGACGCCCATAGACATTCGCAACACCAAAGTTTAACATTTTTTCCCGACCGACTCAGGAGGGTAATTTATTCGTCTCGTATTTTTATGCGGGTTTATGTATGTCAATTTCATTCTGATTTGTAAACGACTCGAACGATTTTAACGAATAAATTGTCATCCGAATGGCCTTGGGTCTTATAGGGACGTATTAAGTTTTTGTTATTTTGTTCCAATGTTTTTTTAATGTTTTTATTTTTTTAGGAACGTATTTACCTCTCCTCGACGGTCTGAACTAAACAGAAGAGAAGATATTCCTTTTACAAATCAAATAGTAGACCTAACTTTAAATAATATTATTGTCAATGGTATTTTATTAAGAGAAATATTAAAGTATAGGACAGATAATAAAAGTAAAATGACGGGAGAAGATAGAAAAGATATTATTGAATTTGATTTTGTAGTGTATAGTCTGTTAAATAATTTAAAATACAACAAATGTAAGCTATGATATCACGTTTCTTTTACGTTCACCAGGTCAGATTTGTCGGTATAAAGTAGTCAAGGTTACGCAACTAAAATTGATGACCTGCAGATCAGCTCACGGTTTGCTTGTAAAACTGATCAGTGAACAGATCAGTTCAATGTATTTGCATTGAGTAATGAGATGAGGAGTTGCTCGGCCCATATAGTTACTTTACGTTGAGCCGTGAGCTGCTATTTCATTTACTGAGCTATGGCTCAACAGTTCGAGACTATGTGAGAACTTTGAACTTTCAACCGGTTCAGAATTTCAAAGCAACAGACAACATACACGCAATTTAAGAGGAATCTATGGTATTTGTCCTTTACTATATCGATTTTATTATAATGTATTCTATTTATTAGAATTTAATTACATGGAATGGTGCAATGGTGGTAGTTTGTAAATATAATATTTTAAGTACGCATTTTGTGTTTCTTTTTAAATTGTTGTATCCGATTGTTATACGTTCTTTTATTTTGAATTTCGAAAATGAATTTTAAAAAATTTAGTGAACAAATTTTTAAAAATAGAACTCAAATGACATTTTTTTATTTAATTCGTGTCCCTTTTTTAATCTTGTGAAGGAAAAGTAACGTAAAAGTTTAATTGAATATTGTCATTTTGTCCAACTTAGGAATGCGGACATTAAACACAAAAACTACCTTAAAAAATATTGCCTTAAAATGCACTATAAGTTAAATCCAACTGAAAAAAGACAGTATGGATATTTTTTAAAAGGCGGAAGTTTCTTGTGACCTTTAAAGACATTCAGTTTTTTTTTATCAAACCTCTTTAGTCCACTGTCCATTTACGTATTTCAACGTACTTATTACAAGTGTCAAACCTTTAAGGTCGAAGACATTTTCACGTGAGTTTACTACAAGTGGAGAAAAGCGTCATTCATTTCTTGTAAAAGAAACGTAGGAAAAGGCCCTTCCTAACCTAATGCCCTTCTTTTTATTTCACTAGGTACAAGGTCCTAATCTACTTTTAGCGAATGTAAGTACTGGCTAAGGTACTGGGTTTAAAATTAAGATTGGATCATTAAAATGCATGCATTTTTAAGTCAAGTTGACATAAAACTAATGGAGAAAAAGTTGAAGTAAAATGGTATCGTACAGAGATAGATATGTAAGTGAATAGAATATACACATAGATAGTAAAATTAATGCAAACATCGGCATTGAATTGTCATATCTTAACTAAGAATATTAAAATCTTGGGTACGCTCCAATCCTGGGTACGCTCCGTATCCAATCTTTATTACATCAAAATCTACATATATGCGCAAAAAAATCCATTTTTTTTCTGCAATATGACAAAGGTTTTTATATTCCCGGTTAGATTATAATTGCGTGACTATGAATAACAGCACTTAATATTTATAATTACTTACGTTATTCGTAATAATGAAATGTAAAGATCCAATTAAACAAGACTTCACAAATCACTTTATAACTTATTCACATCTTGTTTACGTGATATATAAGGAAAAAAATAAAAAATATTTTTTTTTATTTAACACATAATTAAACAACAAAAATATCGATATGTGTTTACGATAAACAGTCACATCACAATAACATCAGTAAATGTCATTTTGACAGCAGCGACAACATTTTAACAAATTTTTTCATTTCTTTTCCTTGTTTTAACTTTTCAATATATTGTTATTGAACTTTGCTCTTTGTAATACTTTGTACTTTGCACTTTTATTTAGATTGCTGTTAATTCTTGTTTTGAATTATCAGTTCCATAGTTCGAAACGTACTTGGATAGTGGCATAATTACTTGATACGGTCTACAAACCGGTTTACGCTAAATTAAAATTGCGTGTATTTTAAAAATGACTTCAGTATATACGACAATAATCTCAAGTATCCCCTTTTTATCTTAAAGTGTTAGTACATTGCACTTAGATAGCATTTTATTTGTAGTCGTGTTGTGTTTTTTAAACAAATGAAGGAAATATTAAAAGAATGGTTTATGAACGCACCGTGGGGAAAAGTAGCATGTAAGTATATTTTAAATAACAAAAACTAAAGTTACGAGTCAATTTTATATCGTAAATTTTTAAAACACTTAAATCTTCTAATTTGAAGTTATTTTTGAGAAATAAACTTAGTAGTGACCCAGTATAAGTAAATAATTTCTTAATCTAAGAAAATTATTTCTCTTAGCTTAATTACAATTCTAACTTTTGTCTGCGATTTCGTTTATGCGTAATTAAAAAATCTACTGCATAATAAATATAGTCTATGTTACTCAATGATAATCTTAAGTTTGTAACAAAACAATTTTTGAACGTTTTTTTAGCTGTTATATACAAAAATTCAAATCTTTATGATAATAGTGTGATTAACCATAAGAAGACTCCACTTTGAAGACAAAGCTATCTTAATGTAATATTTAATAATTGACTATATTGAGTTTGTTATTTTTTTCAGTAATATCATGGGGTAATGCTAGTGGAGAGCCAGTTTTATTTGTACATGGAAGACAGGACAGTGCGGCAACATTCATACCCCTTGTAGAATTACTTCCGGACAAATATCATTATGTAGCAGTTGATATGCCTGGGAATGGGCTATCAGATCCATTACCAAAAGGTTAATATGTTACTAGCTTTTAACTGTAACTTCGCTCACAAGAAATTCATCATCCTTTTTATCCTACTCCCGTAGTGACGCAACAGGTTTTTGTTCTCCACATAACTCTGTCATACGTCATTTCAGTCATCACTCCCTTTACGATCATGTCACTTTTCACGCAATCCAATCTTTAAGTCTACCTCTACCGTTGTACCACACTCTGACTAACATTCTCCTTGTAACATGCAATGCATCCCTCATAACATGCCCCCATGCTAACATTTTACTCCTTACCTTCTCTACCACTGGGGCTACTCTCAAACTTCTTATGTTATACTCATTTCGTATCCTATCCATTTGTGTTACCTTTCATCCATCTTAACATTCTCATATGAAATAAAAAAAATAACATAGCTCAGTGATAATGTAGCTTTATAATGGTGAAGTAATTTTTTAAATCGGCCCAGTTTTTGAGTTATTCCAATACAAACAAAATAACAAATCTTACCTCTTTATAATATTAGTATAGATGAAAGTTTTTATGGTTCATATAATTCAAAAGTTTAAAACATTTAGACCTCTTGTACACCCACGAACATCTCCATAAGCAGAGTTATGTTGCCAGTTTCTCCCAAATTAGAATAAAACCACAAACATTTGACACTGGCCCAATCTGCCGTAGGAGAGCCATAAACAAAAAATAGAATAGAAGTTTTTATGATATGCGGATGAAGCCACACTGGAACTAGCTGGCTAATAAAGAGGAAATATTTGATTTCTCATACTTCTGTTTAGGTGTGACGTTGGCTAGAATATTTAGAGTGTCTGTTGTACAAATGATTGTGGAGCACATGAAATGGACAAATTTTATCTATATCGGACATTCCTTGGGCACAGAAATAGGTAAATATATTAAATCTCTCTAATAATATTAATTTCAAATCTAATCACATATCTTTATTCTCTTATTTTTATATATAATACATTTCAC